TTAAAAATCTTCTTTGAAAAAACCCAAATAGCTAGAGTTTAGATATTATGCATGAAACATCTTCTAGTAAATGTCTACAAAGTTTGTTCAAATAAAAGCCCTGGGATCAAAACTGGCCCCGCCCCAGGGGTGTCATTTATTAACAATATGTGTATAGTAAAAACTTAAATCTTCTTTTTAGAAACCCAATGAGCTAGAGCTTAGATATTTGGCATGAAACATCTTCTAGTGAGTGTCTACCAAGTTTGTTCAAATAAAAGCCCCGGGGTCTAAATTGGCCCCGCCCCAGGGGGTCAATGATTTTCCCTATATGCATATAGTGAAAACTTAAAAAATCTTCTTTTAAAGAACCCAAAGAGCTAGAGCTCAGATATTTAGCATGAAACATCTTCTCATGAGTGTCTACGAAGTTTGTTCAAATAAATGCCCCGGGGTCAAAATTGGCCCCGCCCCTGGGGGTCATTGATTTTCCTTATATGCATAAAGTAAAAACTTAAAAATCTTCTTTTAAAGAACTCGAAGAGCTAGAGCTAAGATATTTAGCATGAAACATGTTCTAATGGGTGTCTACCAAGTATGTTCAAGTAAAAGCCCTGGGGTCAAAACTGGCCCCGCCCCAGGGGTGTCATTTATTAACTATATGCATATAGTAAAAACTTAAAAAATCTTCTTTTAAGAAACCCAATGAGCTAGAGCTTAGATGTTTAGCATGAAACATCTTCTTATGGGTGTCTTCCAAGTTTGTTCAAATAAAAGCCCTTGGGTTAAAATCGGCCCTGCTGGGGGCGGGGTGGGGGGAGGGGCGCTATGTACAGGTGAGCGACTTCAGGGCCATCATGGCCCTCTTGTTTACAGTGGTAACGAGGCTCTGCCATGTTTCTGCTTAACAGTTACCCCAAAGCTGGATATTCCCGTATGTGACAATTTTTTCTTGCAAATTACTTAAAAAATTATTTCTTGTAAAGAAATTACAAAAACTAATATTTTTTCCTTTAGCATTTTTCTCTTACAACTTAAGTAAGGTCATGTAATTTTAGCTGTGTCAGATGTAAGATCAGCAAACAGGCAACTTTCTGGGAGTATGATATACAATTATTGTTGTCAATATGCTCTTGTTTTGTTTAAAAACCTCTAAAATGTTTATATACATGTATATATAACTATCTCTATTGATATGTTGTTGTTGTTGTTGTTTTTCTTCTGTTGATTCAAATGTATAAATAATTAAAAGAAGCTCGCGGGCAGTTAATGGATTTCAGAAATCATTCTGCTAATGTAGATATACCTGTATTTTGTTGATTTTCTGCTATATTCTATGTGTTACCTGAACCTGCGAGAACCAATAGTGATAAACCTGTACCACCAGTATAGAACCAGGCTAGCCTGTACAGCCAGGCAGTCAGACCAGGCTTTATACTGTCAATACTTCAATCTTTGTATTTATATATTGAAATACCTGAAATTTTAAATGAACTTATCACAGGGTGAGAATTATATGCAGCCTGGCAGGGACTTGAACACAGGACTCTTGGAATACCTTTTCGTTGCTCTACCAACTGAGCTATCCTGCCACTTACACATCTTCTACCCTAAACAGTGATCAGTTCTAAATGGTGACAAACTGTTTAGAATTTTAAGCAAGGTAAATTTGTTTAGCAGGTGAGGGTTAAATATAAATGAGAACATGTGCTTTGTCATATATTCTGTTTCCTGCAAATTGACAATGAATTATATATAAATGTATAAGATAGCTCACTCTTTTCTGAAACCCACTATGTCACTGAAAAAATTTTATTATTAAAAGAAAATGTAATAAATAAGTCTTGTTAGCAGGTGTTCCGGAATGTTCATAGTGTTTGATAAGAGATAAATGTGATATAAATACCAAAACCTATGATAACCTTTCAATAAATGTACATTTCTATATGAAAGAAATCATCACACTTGTTTTTAAGAAGATATATTGTTAATTAAACATGTTTAATTAAAACAATCATTTGTATAGAAGCATTTAGGGTTTATTTTATATTGAAACTGTATCAGTTTCTAACATGCTTGTATGAAAGTAGGCCGTTCTCTTTGGCAGTTCTCTAGATTTATTTTGACCTGGTTAAATATGCTACTTAGATTGATATGATTGTTTTTTATGTGTGGGCAATGATTGGCTGTAAATATAGTAGATTGTCTAGGTAACTGTTGATAATTTGTTTGAATATTGAACAAATGATGTGTGAAATAAATCACTGATAAAAATATGAATCAAGTTTGTTATTGTTTCCAGAGACCCAAATTAGAATGTTACATCTTTTACAGACATATGTGACAAATAAACAAAGGCAAGAAAAATATGTGTCGCATTAAATAATCATTGTACATGTATTTATGTTAATCATAAGCTTTTTAGCTCAACTAGTCGAAGAATAAGTAGAGCTATCCAAGTACCCCGAGTGTTGGCGTACCCACTAAAGATTGCATACCACCTCAAATATTTTAATATTCCATTGACATCTTGCTTTGGAAGAACACACTTGTTTGAGAGGATATTAGGTCACTCTGCAAAGCCTATAACTGTAACATGGACTTGAAAAAAAAATGTGGCCCTTTTTAAAAAAAATATTTTGTCGAGGCACTTTTACTATCAAGCACCAATAATAGTTGAGCGTGCTGTACTATTGACAGCTCTTGTTATACATTATAGTTAGAACAATTGTTTAGTTTACACAACAAAGATCTTACAAATATTGATTTATTTTGCCAGGCAAGATCGTGCAAGTACTTAAAAGTTGTTTTCATTTTTATTTATTTTTTTTTTGAATGAGTAATTTCACCGTGGGTAAGCAATTTTGGTCATGTGACCCCAAAAGTCAACGTACACGGCCAAAATGAGCCAAAATAGCTCGGCTAAGGTAAGTTGTTTTGTAATTATTTTTCTATCGAGTCATTTTAAATAATGCTACATAGCCTACCGACCGCGACATTTCCGATGCTTTCTAAATATGCATTTTTGGCTCATTTTGGCCGTGTACGTTGACTTTTGGGGTCACGTGACCAAAGTTGCTTACCCACGGTGTTAACTGGGATTTGAACTTCAGACATCTCGCTTCCTAAACGAGCGTGTAAACACCTCCAGCAACTCATTTTTTTAATTGTTTAAGCCAAATAAACATTGAATTTAATATCAGTGTTGCAATTAGTCTAATAGTTAATTTACTACAGTTATAACACTGGAAACAGCACTGGTGGCACTATACAAAAACAAATTGGTTTATAATCCTTTCTGACATTCTGAGACCCAATCAAATTCAGCGCCTTCTGTGCTTTGATTTATCAATGTGGTCATATTTTCTTCCCAGGTCCGATACTTGTGCCTGTGATTGTATGTTGCCGCCAATATTTTACAACTTTTCGGACGCAATACGTGTTCCATCTTACATATATTATTGTTTTGAAACAAGGTGTTGCTATGTTACATGAAACAACATTTCACGTGGCGTTAATTCGCATTTAAGTTGTTTTGTTTATTTTCGATGAAAATATTTATGTATACTGAACGCATTTTACGATTGGCTAGTAAAGTGCTTAGGTTTTCATACGTGTTTGATTGCTTACAATGATCTCTCTGCAGGGATAGGAGTAGATCGGGCACAGATGGTTTGTTTATTATTTACTGTTTTGTATCTTTTAGATCAATAACTTTGTACCGTCAAATCATTGTACACCCAGTAAATTTCAGCAAGTGACATTGGTGATTATTTAGTCTCTAATTTTTTATATGACAAATTATGCAAACTGTATCAGCGACTTTTTTGTTATGTCCGGGTTTTCTTTAATTTATCCTCCAATAAAATCGCAGAGAATATGTCGTATGTTGCAGTTCCGATCAGATTATTCGTCCCGAGGGGACCCGTCCGATCTATTCCGGAACGCAAGTTAGATATTTTTTCTTGCATATTCTATCATATTTAAAAAATTATTTACCTTAGAAAACAATTTTTGATGTAATTTAATTCTTAATACACCGAAATGACGTCATTTTAATGCGGTTCGTTAAGAAAATGTGCTTAAATGGCGCAGGAATAATAATATATGTCATATGTTGTGGTTTGGATCGGATAATCCGTCCCGTGGGGACCCGCCCATTGGCTTGCCGAGTTTCAACACATACATTTTGGAAAATATCAGTTGCAGAGGAAATTTTTCCATATACTTACCAAACATTAATCGAAAATTATTTGAATTTGATTGAATATTGAATATTGAATATTGAATTTTACAAGAAACATTTATTTTGATACTACTTTGAATATATGTCATTTATTTTAAATTTAGTTTGATAATATAACATAAATTTTTCCTTTGTAGAAAAAATATATCTGATGCGTCAAGTAAATGTCCATTTCTCCGGCACATAATCTTTTCAAAACATTAATAAATGACGTGTAAAACAAACTTTAATTATGATACTATATTCAATAAATATATTCTAATAAATTCTATTTTGTTAAATAATTGTTATTTATAAAAATTCATTGTGACTTTTATGCAAAAATATCTCCAAATATTTTCGAATTAAACAAACCTTCCGCAGCTGCAAAAAGACCTCTCGTGTGCTTCTTTTTAAAAAAGCAAACTTGTTCTTTTAGACTAGGCTAACGAAAATCTTTGAAAGAAGAAGAAGGAAGAAGAGGAGAAGAAGAAGAAGAAAAAGAAGAAGAAGTAAACTAATCTAATTCACACCAGTAAGATACGGAAAATATGTTTCAGTATGCTGTAAAAAATAAATTTTACAGTGAAAATACGGAAAAGTAAAAATACGCATTTATTTCATCAATATTTCTCAATTTTTTATTTATAAGTATATAACAAATAATCATCATTTTATAAGAATATGATAATTAATTATATTGTTGTTGATTCGATGGCATTCCAACGAAGGATAAAAATTACAGGTTGAAAGAGGATTTGATAAATCGCATGTATATAAGTGTACAGACATGCAGGAGCGCTCATTTAGACATCGTTTATATAGACAAATACAAACATATAAATTAACAAATATGGACATAAGGTTTACACTTCTCACCATTTTACTAGTTGTCGTTAGTTTGACTTATACCAATGCTTCGTGTGAGATAAACGGCGTTACTTATCAAAAAGGAGGTAAACACTAGCAATAATTTGATTATGTTTAAAATATTATTTTCTTTAAGAATGTTTAATTCATTCAAGCGAAGCACGCCAAACGGCGCGTTTTTGCTAGGTCGCCCTGTTGGCTATACAAATAGCCAATCCTTCGATTTGAGTCGTGTGACAACGCGCCGTTTGGTGTGCTTCGTTATCTACAGGACGACAAGACGACAGTGTTACAACGCACCGTTTGGCGCTTTGTCGTGCTGTCGCTAGCGACACGACGCACAAAAGTGCTCCAAATCAGCCACCATAAGAAGCTGTTTTGGTTTTTATTCTTCTTTAATTCTTATTAAGGCTTAAATGAGATGGATTTTGAAAACCATGCGTTTTGATCAGTATGATTAATTACTAGCATGGAATGCTTAAATTTATTCTCGATCTATTACTTGGGAGTTATGCTGCCATTGAATATTGTCAATTATGAAATATGTTTCTTTAAAAGATAATTTGTTGCCATGTATGAATTTACAATATACTTACCTAGGTTTAACCGTACAAGTAATTTCAACGTGTAATCCAGTACTAAAGAGAGACCAGGAATTGTGCAAATTTTTTTTAAAGAAAAATGTCTCAGGTTTATCGAATATCAAAAACAAAATGTAAATATAAAGTTATTTTAAAAAAAATTAAACTCAAAAGTTAAATTTTTTCATCGCCATCCCTCTCAAAAAAAATATTGAGAAACTTTTTTTCTGGAATTTTTTTTCAATGGATTTTTTAAAAAAAGGTTTTTTCAGTTTGTTATTTTATATCGTTTAAAAAAATTTTTTTTTGCATGTATAATTCCTGTCAACAATAAAATTAAAAAAACCCAAAAAAAACCAAAAAATGCAATGTATATCCAACATAATTTATTAGGGACATTTTGTTCTAAATAAGCCAAAGTAAAAGTCGACAACGTAAAATATATATCAGGGACAATATCTCCTGTCTTCTATCTAAATAAGTCAACGTTAAAGTCGACCATTCTCGCATATATAGAGATAAATATAAAAGGAGGGGGTGGGGGCGTAGGTCTAGTGATAAAATTACTGAAAAGAAAACGGAATTAATGTTATTCCCAGACACTTGGGGTGTGGAGATCGAAAGTCTTAAAATCAAAGTAAAATGTATATTTGTCAATCCCTGCACATAATCTTATCATATATATCAATAACTTAACAAACGCTGTTTTGAAAGAAAAACAATCATATTTCAACGTATTATATAAGTTTTATATTTACTTCGCGAGCGTTGTTCAATCTTCTATCTGGCATTCTTTGTTATTTGTTTTATGTTCTTATATATTACTAGTACATTCAAAGTAAATTTCTAAAATGAATGCTTTATGAAAAAAAAATACCCACAAATTAATATGTTTCCACTCTGACCTAAAATCGGGTTTACTAACTTTTATTTCTTTGAGAAAAACAAAAAACCTTTGAAAAGCTTTTCAAATTGTTTGGCATTCACGTATAGCTTGTGTTAGATGTTTAGTGTCCCCTAGCAGCTGAATGAAGTTTTATTTGTATAATTTATGTTTTATCAGATAAATTTACTCACCCGGAGGAAGGATCGGATCAATGTAAAGTGTGTGTTTGTTGTGAAGATGGAAGTTTTACATGCACACAGAGAATTTGTACTGTTCCACTATGTGGTGTAAATAAACAGATAATGGACGAAGATGGGTGCTGTACGGTGTGTAAACCTGAATGTGATGACGCAGCCGCAAGCTGTCCAGCTCTAGACTGTCCGGTATCCAGGCAAGCGTTCCTGCCAGATGCGTGCTGTCCTTCCTGCGGTTGTGCGTTACCAATTGAGGCATTTCCTGTTGCATCTGTTCCAGTGGGTATGTGAATCTAATTTAATTTACCACGACCGTCAGCCCCTATAGGCACATTACACCGTGTAATGAACTATATATGAGCCGCGTCACGGCAAAACCAACATAATGGGTTTATTATAATGGTCTGATCAGGATCCATGCTGTTCGTTATCAGTTTCTTTACTTGTAATAGGGTTTGTAAGCGAACAGCATGGATCCTGATCAGACTGCGCGGATACGCAGGCTGGTCTGGATCCATGCTGGTCGCAAACCCATTATGTTGGTTTCGATATAATTTTTTATCACGTTTATCGTTTCAGAAAATTTGAAATAGAAAAGCATTTCGATAATTTATACAACATTCAATTGAAATCCGGTAACTAACAATGGGTACTTCAATCTTGAATAACCAAATCCCCAGGTCAAGGCCCTATCATTCGGGGACAATCATGTAATACTAATTGCCCCGACTCACCGCTAGATGGGAAAATCCCACTATATAGCCGCCAATACAAATCTACTGTTTTTGCCCTGCAGTGCAGAAGAAAGAAAAATGTGTAGCCCGAGGGATTTCAACTTCACGAAACCCCAATTTCGTCTTCGTGAATTCACAATTTTAACTTCGCGAATTCATGTTTTCAACATACGGAATTCATTAAATTACGATTTCAACTTCACGAATTCACGATTTTAACTTCATGAATTCACAATTTCATTGTCACGAATTCAACTACACGAATTCTCGATTTCAACTTCATGATTTCACGAATTCATCTTCACGATTTAAACTTCAAAAAATCACGATTTCAATTTCACGAATTCACGATATGGCTTCACGATTTCAACTTCAAGAATTCACGATTTCAACATTTCAACTTCATAAAATTGTGAATTCATGAAATTAAAGTCGTGAATTCATGTAGTTGAAAGCGTGAATTTATGTAGTTGAAACTCGTGAATTCGTGACATTTAAATCGTGACGCCGAAGTCATTCTACCATCGGTCTTTCTTTGGGATATATCTCTTCTATCCCATGCAGATACCATCTGCTACCCCAACGACCCCCACCCACGCAACACCCCGGGGTAGGTGGCTTGATAACAAATCGGCTGGTGCATTCCCAATCCATTAAAACAATTTTAATATAGAGACTTATTATAGAGACACTTAATGTCATCACATTTGTTATTTATTTGCAGGAGGGTTTGCTGCATGTGATAGATGTACATGTTATGAGAATGGTACGTTTTCTTGTAATAATGATGGGATACCTGAACCCTTCCTTGAGTGTGTGAATCCTCGAGCCACAAAGACTGGGAAGAAAAAATGCAAATTTGATTGTCCAGATGGTAAGTAAAGCCCATGCAACTGATTGTGTTAATGTTATCGCCACTTTCCGTACGTTATGTACAAGTCTGAATCATTGCAGTCGGAATCTGGCGAAGAAAGCTGCTATTAATGCATATGTTGCTTATATTTCTGTGTCATTTGTTTATATTTAAGTCACATGTTTATTTTGTAAATAAATTTTAAAGAAATTATAAAATTACACACTATGTTCAAATAACGACCACTTTTTTGTTAACTTAAAGATGAATACCCCAATCTTTCTTTGTCCTTTCAGATTACACGTGCAGACGTTCTAACGTGTTGTTGAAGAAAGGAGAATTTACAAAGATTGGCTTTAACTATTGTACATGTCATCCCAAAGTCTGGTTTCCCAGAGGTTTTTGTATTTATCCGAGATTTATGGACAGTGACAAGGATTTAAGAGTTCTGCAGGAAGACAAATGTGTGGCTACACCAACACTGGACGACTTGAACGTAGTTGACATTAGATATATTAACTATTTGGATTATTTTAGAAACATATAAACATTTCATACTGACCGCCGACGACACAACTTAAAACTTCTAATGAAACTGACTACTAACTTCGGTTTTGTGATATCCAGATTTTAATAGATCATGTAATAAATATCGAATTGTGTGATTATTTTGACATTTCTTGTTTCAGTTTGGTTTTTTCCATTTGGGAAAACCCCCCCCCCGATTTTTTTGAATTATTTCCAAATACTTTCCTTTTCACGGGGAAAATTTAAAAAAGGCCCTTATAAAATTTTAAAAAAGTAACATTTTGAAAAGTTACAAAGATTTAAAAACTTTATTTGATAAATCCCCATTGGAAATTTTATCCAAAAACCATAAAAACAAAAATTTATTTCTTACTTAAATAATCCGCTAAAATAAAAAATTTATTTTTAAAGTGAAATTTTAAAAAATACTGGAAAATAAACCCGAAACCCCATTTCCATTTTTTTATTTCTTATCGGTTTAAAAATTTTAAACGTTTTCAATGTTGGGGTTTTTCTTTCACAGTTTAAATTTTTTAAAAAAAGGGGATCAAAAATGAAGTAAATTAAATGGCAAAAAAATTACCCCCTTCTAATCTTATAAAAATGGAATAAATTTCCAAAAAAAAATTTTCCAAACCGGTATCAAAAGCCGGTAAATCCCTTTAAACTAAGCATCATCGGTACTTTCTTTGTGATAGATCCCTACACTGACCTTTTACTTGAATAACAAACAATATTTAACAAACTTTGACATGTGCTCTTTTGTTAACAGATATGTTGTGTTGAAATTCTTATCGTCATCAACTTATCTGGTAATTAGAATAAGACAGGTTATGGAAATATAAATGAAAGAAATGAGACAGGGAGTTTTTGAAAGAATGTGTTCATCATTTAATGCGTCAAAGAATGCGTCTTTAAACTCTCTTTTTTAACTTATTTGGAGAGGAAGTTAAATTATTGATTTTATTATTAAAACATGCGTTTATTATTTCTAAAAAAGAGCATCTTTTCTAAAGGGAATGCAATAATTATTTAAAACTAAAGCTAAAAATAATACGTCGATAACTACATGTGTTTGGTACTTTAGTAGTCCATTACTGAAATCAATTGTTGTATTAATAGAATTTGTCTACTAAAAAAATTTGTCCACAACAAAAACATGTGTTTATCATTAAAATAGTCCGTTTATAATTACTTTTTTACTCAACTAATAAGAAATGCATGAAAGATGTACGTTTGTTACTTACAGAACACGTCTATTACTAAAGGAATACGTCAATTACTAAATGAATGCGTCAATTACTAAAAAAATGCGTTATTTACTAAATGAATGCGTTAATTACTAAACTTTTGTGTTCATCACTAAAATGATGCGTTTATTACTAACAGAATGCGTCTAAGTGCACTAGAAATAATGCGTTTATTATTTAAAGAATGTTGTTTTTTTATTTTGAGATTGGTTCTTACAATTTCAAATAGAATGAACGCTGAAAGTGTTTTTTTTAAAGATTGTTGATTGTTTTTAAAAAATTATCATTAAAATTATGATTATCTCTGAGAATATCTTCATTGAAAAAGAATAACTACTGAAAGTATACTTTTATAAAACAATTTCTTTACTTAGATAATACGCGTTACTAAAAAGATTTATGTTAATTGAACGAGAATACATATGATTCAATACATATTTTTAAAAGAACGTTTATTACTTGACGAACATTTTTGAAAATCGGAAAACAACAAACTATACTCCAGTATCTCAACAGCACAACATAATTTGTTATTTAGTACCGTGTTACTTAAATCATTACTTAGCTGTAACCCCGGCAACCTTATAATCGCGAATTTCGTTAACAGGCGCACCTCTGCAGAATCAATCCCTTCCGCTCCCTTTTAAAATGTCCATGCAATAAGAGTTAGAAAGATTTTCCGTTACAATTAGCCCAAACCAAAGCCTGGAGGACAGTTTACTCTCGCTTATCCCGCTTTGTCCCGGGTTGAGGGCAGGGGTTACAATTAATTTTTACATGAATAAAGGTCTCTTTGTAATATTTCAATGCATGCGCGATGGTGCGTGCACATTCTGTATTTCTATAACATTTGGTACATTTCATACAATAAACAATATGTGACATGTATCGGAATCATATATATGTATGATACGCATACGACTGGTTGACGGAAGCAAATTGTATTTACCAGATATGCAGCTTCTTATAATGAAAATGAGCCGCGTCATGACAAAACCATCACAGTGCGTTTGCGACCAGCATGGATCCAGACCACCCTGCGCATCCGCGCAGTCTGATCAGGATCCATGCTGTTCGCGATCAGTTTCACTACTTGTTATAGGGTTGGTAAGCAAACAGCATTGATCCAGATCAGACTGCGCGAATGCGCAGGCTGGTCTGGATCCATGCTGGTCGCAAACCCACTATGTCGTGACACGGCTCAAACATTATCATTAAACTCACTGCAACGATTTTCATATCAGCCACGTCACAACGTAAGTATGTGCATTAAATTCAATTACGTCTATGAAAAGGTTTACTTATTTACGGTAGACACACACATATAGAAAACCCTGTACAGCTGCTGTCATATATCAGTTTGTTTATCAGCTGGCAGGCATTTCAGCAAAGGTCACTTTTTTCAGATATTTACACCTATTTAGACAAATCGCAAAGTCCATTGAAACTATTGCAAATCAAGTTTATAATGTCTTTTTTACAAACAACAACAAAAACAACCCAAATGCCTTTTGTGTGAAAATAGAGATCGCTATAACAGTATACATAATAAATACTGCTTAGAAAAACAACATTGCGTTTCGTACTTTATTGGTTTTGATTACTTAATTTACTTTCTCTTTATTTCTTTCTAAGATTAAAATGTTTAAGGATAAAAAGGAATGAAATGTTTACAACTATAAATTTACTTTACAGACACCTAACTCTTTACTTTGATATACCAGGTGTATTTCAATCTTTCCTAAACTGATACACATCTTCCTTTCTATGACTGTATGCTCCTGCATTGAAATTCATCATAATTTAAGCTTTTGTGTTGTATGTTTTATTTTGTGTCATTGATTACGGTCTATTTAATTACATTTCTAAATAACATCATATTTTCAAAGTTCCACGGTAACAGGTGTATGTGACCTACACAATTTACACATTAAAAGAGTGTAAGAGTAGATTCAATACACATTATGAAGAATTTTTATAAATGTTTTCAAGTCAATTCACATGTTGGACCTGAATTTCATAAGATCTTCGATATTTCAGTGGAAACTGATACCTCTGCAAGCAGCATGTATCACCGATATTTCAGTGGGAACCAGTACCTCTCCATGTATCACCAATATTTCAGTGGGAACCAGTACCTCTTCGTGTATCACTGATATTTCAGTGGGAACAATACCTCTCCATGTATCACCATATTTCAGTGGGAACCAGTACCTCTTCATGTATCACCCATATTTCAGTGGGAACCAGTACCTCTCCGTGTATCACCAATATTTCAGTGGGAACCAATACCTCTTCGTGTATCACTGATATTTCAGTGGGAACCAGTACCTCTTCGTGTATCACTGATATTTCAGTGGGAACCAGTACCTCTCCGTGTATCACCAATATTTCAGTGGGAACCAATACCTCTTCGTGTATCACTAATATTTCAGTGGGAACCAGTACCTCTTCGTGTATCACTGATATTTCAGTGGGAACCAGTACCTCTGCATGTATCACTGCTATTTCTGTAGGAACCAGTACCTCTGCATGTATTACCGATATTTAAATGGGAACCAGTACCTCTCCATGTATCACCGATATTTCAGTGGGAACCGGTACCTCTCCATGTATCACTGATATTTCAGTGGGAACCAGTACCTCTGCATGTATTACCAATATTTCAGTGGGAGCAAGTACCTCTGCATGTATCACCAATATTTCAGTGGGAACAAATACCTCTGCATGTATCACCAATATTTCAGTGGGAACCAATACCTCTGCATGTATCACCGATATTCAGTGGGAACCAGTACCTCTGCATGCATATATCACTGATAAAAATCAGTGGGAACCGGTATACCTCTCCATGTATCACTGATATTTCAGTGGGAACCAATACCTCTGCATGTATCACCAATATTTCTGTGGGAACCAATACCTCTGCATGTATCACCGATTATGTCAGTGGGAACCAGTACCTCTCCATGTATTACCAATATTTCAGTGGGAACCAATACCAACGCATGTATCACCAATATTTCAGTGGGAACCAGTACCTCTCCATGTATCACTGATATTTCAGTGGGAACCAATACCTCTGCATTTATCACCAATATTTCTGTGTGAACCAGTACCTCTCCATGTATTACCAATATTTTCTGTGGGAACCAATACCTCTCCATGTATCACCGATATTTCAGTGGGAACCAATACCTCTGCATGTATCACCAATATTTCTGTGGGAACCAATAACCTCTGCATGTTTCAACGATATTTCAGTGGGAACCAGTACCGTCTGCATGTATCACCGATATTTCAGTGGGAACCAATACTCTGCATGTATCACCGATATTTCAGTGGGAACCAGTACCTCTGCATGTATCACCGATATTTCAGTGGGAACCAGTACCCTTCCATGTATCACCGATATTTCAGTGGGAACCAGTACCTCTCCATATATCACCGATATTTCAGTGGCAACCAGTACCTCTCCATGTATCACCCATATTTCAGTTGGAACCAATACCTCAGCATGTATCACAGATATTTCAGTGGCAACCAATACCTCTGCGTGTATCACTGATATTTCAGTGGGAAGCAGTACCTCTGCGTGTATTACCGATATTTCAGTGGGAACCAGTACCTCAGCATGTATCACTGATATTTCTGTGGGAACCGGTACCTCTGCATGTATCACCGATATCTCGGTGGGAACCAGTACCTCTCCATGTATCACTGATATTTCAGTGAGAACCAGTACCTCTGCATGTATCACTGATATTTCAGTGGGAACCAGTACCTCTGCATGTATCACCAATATTTCTGTGGGAACCAATACCTCTTCGTGTATCACCGATATTTCAGTGGGAACCAGTACCTCTGCATGTATCACCGATATTTCAGTGGGAACCAGTACCTCTCCATGTATTACCAATATTTCAGTGGGAACCAATACCAATGCATGTATCACTGATATCTCAGCGGGAATCAGTTTCTCTGGATGTATAACTAATATCTCAGTGGGAACCAATACCTCTGCATGTATCACTGATATCTCAGTAGGAACCAGTACCTCTGCATGTATCACCAATATTTCAGTAGGACAAATACCTCTGCTTGTATCACCAATATTTCAGTGAGAACCAATACCTCTGCATGTATCATCTCTGAATGTATCACTGATATTTCAGTGGGAACCATGGAAACCATGTACTTCTACAAGCCAGAGGATAATCAACATCATCTAACAACAATAACCCAAGACATTCTTAATGATCATCAGATCTTGAACACAAATATCTCAAACCAAGGACTGAGCCATAATTATAAAACAATAAATATACAACTATTCCATTCAATTTAATACTTTATTTTATTATTTTCCAGTCTTATGTAAAAAAGGCCATATCTAATTGTCTCAAATCTTCAAATTGTTTCAAGTTCATATTTATCTATTTAAAGTTGTATACCTCCAGATTGGCCAAAATAGTTCCAGAAAATCTACCTTGAAAAATATGTACTTAGATTTTTTTTTTAAAAAAAGTAAAAATATTGAAAATTCAAGATGTAATTTACATGTTATATGCAATTAATGACAGATTATCAGAATTTATTACCATATTTCTACAGCATGTCTAACACAGTAAGCAGTATTTTGCATATTCTTACCTATTTTGTTAATTTTTTCTAGATATATTGTGGTGTTGGCAATGGGTAAATTAATTTATTCACTTGATATTTTACTTTTTAATACATTGAAACAGTTCATGAAAATCTGGAGGCATGCTGTTTTCAATCTATTTAAAACAAAGCATATCTAAACTGATTGATGATAAATAGAAACCTACAACATAGTTAAACACAAGTAAAAGTACATGTATAGGGCACATTACTTCATAAATGCCTACATCAATCATAATTTGGTCATATATCTTCATAGATGTCAATAAAACATAGGCATATAATTTAATAGATCTACAAATCATAATTTGGTCATATACCTTTATAGATGTCAATAAAACATAGGCATATAATTTTAATAGATCTACAAATCATAACTTGGTAATACATGTATAATTTTATTCAGATTGAAACAGTTGATTACCATACCGTACTTGTTCATTATTTGTTAAAAAAACCCTAACAATTCATTTATTTCGATAAATCTATAAAAGTCCTTGAATATAATAGTAGATTCTATATCATTTACTAAAGTAGGAATTTATTTAAAAAAAAGAAAAAAAAAAGAAGAAATTGAATGTATTACATTCTTGCTCTTGTTTCTAAAGGAATACACATTAAAATAATGGTAAATTCTGTATCTTTTTATAAACAAAATGGCATTTATGTATCTCTTAAACATTAGCTACAGCTGATTTAATTTAAAAAAAAGACGATTTTAAGCAATGAAAAAACAAAACAAAACAATACAAAAACAATTTACAACTTGTTGCTTAAAGTACTTAAAGTTTGACACATAAAACAACATGATAAGGTATGAATAGAACCGATATGCCCTAGACTAGGGCCCCTAGTACAAAGTTCTGCACAAGCGTGCTTTCTATATTGTATATTTTTTATATACAAATGAAGCATCAAGATCAATGAATATTGTATTATCAGTCTGAATCAGCTTTCCTGTACCAGAATCGTGCACGATTATCATCACTGCATGTGACAAATGCAGGCCCTGTCGGTGAATGATTTATACAGCGAACAATCCCATTATGGCCTGAAATATAAAAACATGTTTGACATAATTAAAGAGCTCCCTCCATTTTCTAAAGCTTCTATCAATAATTTGATAGGTACATATGTCTATTTGTAGCAGTCACTAAACACAGACCTATTATTTTGCAAGTTTTGATGGGACAAGAATTTTCAATGATACTGAAAGACTCTTAACAGTTAAAAAGACATAAGAAGCAATGAACAAAAGTAACATTGAATACATGCATATATACACTTGATGACAAAATATAAAATTTCAGTAGACACAATGATCACATACCAAGAGAAAGAAGTCTTTGACGTTCAGCATTTCTCGAGTCCCAGCAACACAGACTTGTTGTCTTCTCATCCGGGAACAACACTGAAACAGACAAGGTTAATTCACAAAAGTGATAAATATTTATTTCAGATTTTCATTGAAAGAAAGCATTCTAGTGTTACTGGGGACATGGACTCACTTGTTCATATTTCATTCAACATCATCAGTGTATTCTGTCCTTAACATTACTTAATTGAAAATATGGTAAATATGTGTATTCAGATGAAAAACACTCTTAGACTGTTTGCTAGATGATAATGTATCCCCACTTTTACCCCCATTTAACTTGGCAATATACAGATCAGTATTTTTCTTCTGTTTTGTTTTTTTGTTTTTGTTCATATGTTGGTGGTGAACCCACTTAACAGATTCAAGAAACCAGAAATTAACAATTTTCTCTGCAAGTGATAAAACACCAATCCCACATGATTTTTTGACTAGGGGTGGGAGACAAATGACCGTTAAACTCATTATCTTGGAGAAATTTCAAACAGATTTAAGTCCATCTCTGTAAATATATAGGGAGAGGTTAAAACCATTTGTGTGATTCAGCAAAACATAAAAAGTACTTTGTTTGATTGGGTTTTATGTCACACTGACACAGTATAGGTCATATGGCGACGTTCCAGCTTTACTGGTGAAGGAAAACCTCAGGTGCCCTTCCGTGCATTATTTCAGGCACCTGAGTAGAACCAACATTCCTTAAGCTAGCTAGATAGCTTCCTCAAATGAATAAATCCCAAGTCGGGATTCGAACCAACAGCGGTGAGGGGCAAGTGGTTTGAAGCCAACGACTTAACCACTCAGCCACGGACGCCACTCAAAAAGTACTCAACTCACCATAATCTTCTGTATGATTGAAACAAGCTTTAGTTCTGTGCTCCTGTTTTCCCATAGTTCCTGCTCCAGTATACACTATCAGACATCTGTTAGTAGACAACTCCCATAACTTCACTAATGAATCTTTCCCACTTGATAAAATATACTACAAGGCAAGAGAACTTATTTTATAAAGCAAACTGTACATTCAAGCTGGCTACAAAAACCTGACTTTTAACTAAAACATTTTTACAACCTGCCAAGTAATTTTCTTAATTTGATGAGTCAACATTTTTCTAATTAAATTTGCCAGTTTTAGCCATTTACCATTTTATTAATTTTTATAATTTGGCTAAAAAAAATAACTTTGGCTACTGGATGTCTTAGCCCATGTTAATATACTATTCTGATATAAATTTGTATGTAATCATTAAATCATAAAAATTTGTCTAAAAGAAATTTTCAACCAGGGTAAGCCCTGAAAAAATGCTTTAATCTGTAGATGAATAAAGCTGACATATCTTACACCAAACCATAATATTTATCTAATCAGATTTTTTCTCCATCTTTTGGTAAATAAGTCTTATTGTGAATTATAAATATTACCCGATATGTTAATATATTTAGACCATCAAATGAGTCGCAAATTCATAATCAATAACAGATATATTACTTTGTAGAACATCATCTGTTCATATTCTTTCATTATGTTGTACATTAAATATGTTTTAAACATAACCATGTCCGCTACCTTACATGAATTTACAAAGGAGAACAAATGGAATTATCAAACATGTAACAAAAACAGAATTGCAACTGTACAAAAGAGTTATATACATGGAAATTTTTTTTTAAAAATGCAATTATGTTTACAAAGAAAAGCTATTGAAACCTTAGTCCAAGGAAAAATTCTTCAAAATGAGAGTAAAGGAAAGGTTAGAAAAGTGTTTATACCTTGGAATTTCTTGTAAACTGTACTGAACACACTTCCTCTCCATCGTGAGCATTCTTGAATGTATTTATACACAAACCAGACACAGCGTCCCAAATCTTGATGTGTCCATCTTTAGCACATGTTGTATACAAGTTAGCATTAGGACTGTATTTAGCCTGTATAAATGTATGAAATGAAACATATAAAAAACAAGCAAATTCGTTGAATTTATATCCCCCGCCGAGTACTGGTTATTATTAACACAACAACTGAAGACATAAGGCTATGCAACAGACCAGAACCATTTGATCAACTTTGGCAGGGGACCACCCTAGGATCATTCCTGTAAAGTTTGGTTGCTGTGCAGTCATTTGTTTCTGAGGAGATGTTGTTTAAAGAAATTGCTGACGACGCATGACGACGGACGGTGGGGGATCACAATAGCTCACCTAGATGTAAAAACATCTTAATCTCCAGACTTCATTATTCGTAATTTAGTGATGTTGATCATTATTCCTGTAAAGTTGGTTGATTCTAACTCAAGCACTCAAGGATCAAATAACAACATAATGAAACAGTTTTTACTAAGTCAAGGGAAATAACTCTACAAATACTGGATAAATCCACAAGCGAAACCCCAGGAACAAACTAAATATGCTGAGCAACTTTCCAATAAGGTTAAATGACTCTATGTCAAATCCTTTTTGAGTTACATGCGACACATGTTGAAAATTGCAAACATTTTCTAAGTCAAGGGCAATAACTCTAAAAATACTAAATAAATCCAGACGAAAATACCCAGGTGCACAACTACACATACTGATCAACATTCCTGTAAAGTTTCATGACTCTAGGTCAAACACTTTTTGAGTTACATGCGACACAAGTTGAAAATTACAAAATTTTACTAAGTCAAGGGCAATAACTCTAAAAATGCTAAAAATATCCAGATGAAAATACCCAGGTACACAACTACACATACTGATCAACATTCCTGTAAAGTTTCATGACTCTAGGTCAAATACTTTTTGAGTTACATGCGACACAAGTTGAAAATTACAAAATTTTACTAAGTCAAGGGCAATAACTCTAAAAATACTAAAAATATCCAGAAGAAAATACCCAGGTGCACAACTTCACATGCTGATGAACATTCCCATAAAGTTTCGTTGAATTCCAGCCATTAGTTGCAGAGAACTACTCCGGAAACGAAATTCGGACGTTTTACTAAGTCAAGGGCAATAACTCTAAAAATACTAAAAATATCCAGACGAAAATACCCAGGTGCACAACTTCACATGCTGATCAACATTCCCATAAAGTTTCGTTGAATTCCAGCCATTAGTTGCAGAGAACTACTCCGGAAACGAAATTCGGACGGACGGACGGACGGACGGACGGAAGGACGGACGGACAACGCCAAAACTATATCCCCCTCCCGATTCCATCGGCGGGGGATAATAAAATCATTTCTACTTAACAGCACCATAGAATATTATTAAGTGAGTGAGTGAGTGAGTGACGACTTTTATTTAATGAGGCTTACACATTTGGTTTCACAATCTTCCACATGATCTTCTCCTTGCTTTAAAGTGGAAAGCACATGTACTTGTAATAAAATATCTGTTTTGAGGTTTTTGTGTTATTTAATTAAACCATGGTTGTGTTTTTATGGGGCTTTATAGTAATCACTGTCACATTAGGCAAACATCAGTTTTATTTCTATATTTTGTGCTGGTAGAGTTGTTTACACTGGATTTATTTTAAGACAACAAAGACGGTTCAGCACTTTACATGACCTGATACTCATATTAATCACTATCAAGTCTGTTGCCTGGTACAGTGGAACCTGTCTAATTCAAACTTGTTCGGACCAGAAGAAAAGTTTGAATTAGAAAGGTTTCCGGATAAGACTGCTTTTTTACATGTTTGTTCATGTTATTGGCAGAAAAGTTTGAGGAAAGAAAACAGGAATGCATTTGAAATTGCAATATAAATGTTTTATTTTTGCAACATCATATTGTTCATTTTAATGCAGTGAATACAAAAATAAATAAATGAAAATAAATAAATAAGCAAAAATGTTATGTCCTCAAGGGTAAGTTAACCTATGATGTTAAACAGGAGGTTGAGACATGATTAAATATTTGTATCAGCATTGTCAATTGTTGCTTACTCTTATCCTATTCAGCGATTATCCTAATTCACTGACAGTTTCCGTTAATTCCCGTTATTTCATCACTGTCATTAAATTCATTACAAAAGATAAAAAGATATTTCTATTGTATTTTATCAAAATATTTATTGAAGGTGACGAAAAACAATCAATTAAGCAATTATAGTAGATATCAAGGCAAGCTAAGTGTAATTTTCACACCTTCGCAGATCATACGTTTCACCCATTATAATCAGGCGAAATAACACATCAGTTTGGTGTACGTTTACCCCTGCAAGATGTGCGATTGTTATTTTGAATGTAGGTGTAATAATTGGCAAAATCTGTTCGGATCCGAAAGGTTAATTTTAAAGTAAAATAAGAATAAAACTTGAAAAAATCGTCCAGAATTCGGAGTAGACAGGTTCCGGATCCGAAAGTTTTTTTACTATTGAAAATAGAACGAATAAAATCGGGACCGGACACTTCATTCGGATAAGAAAGGATTCCAGACTAGAAGGGTTCCGATTAGCAAGGCTCCACTGTAATAACAAAATACTGGTGTCATATTAGTAAACATGGTCATGATCAGAGTACAGCTTGGGCACGTTATTCCCGGGTATAGCAGCAAATACCTGCTAGAAGATCAATAAGCCAAGGAAGGTAAATAGTATACTTTACAATATTTGAATTAAGTGTAGTTCACTGTCAGTAACTCAATCTTGCTTTTCTTAAAAATTTAGCATAAATTGAAGAATTTTTAAAGTCCTGTCAAAGTTCCTGCTTTGCTCAATATATTTTAACTCTGTTTAGATCAAATTTTGACTTACTCATACTGAAGATGTGTCAAGAGGAATTTTCAATGGTTGGCTACATTTAAGTGAGAAATTGTTATACTGGATGAGTCTAGTTCACATATGATTGTTTTATAAATGCTGGTAATCCTGGGTAATTAACAAGATGTTGAAATTGCTCTATTTAGTATAAAACCTAATTAATTTCAATGATTAGTCATCTAAATTAGGATTTAATTTAGACAATAGTGCACATTTTATCAATGTAAATGTTATTTGTCTGATTTATGCCTCCATATAACATATGCATACATTTATGTTTATTCAAGTTCACAAGACTTGCTACTTTCATTTTCATTCTATGGTAACATTAACCCTTTTCCAGGTGTGATTGATATTATTTCTGGCATGTTCAAATGTGTTTTAAAATTCATAATCACCATGAGTGCTTCATATGAACATGTTTATGCTGATAATATCCTTATAATGTATTGATCAGTGATTTATTATTTATTAAATGCCCATTATGCCTCAGAAATGCTATCATTTTTATTTCTTATTTTTTTTTTATTTTTGATATCTTGTTACAATTTCTTAAAATACTTTGTTTTGCCATATACATAAACTATCTTTTGATTCTTTTGCCCTATTGGCAATCAATGGGAAATAGTATTTTGTATGGAAGTCAAAATACTACTTTGTTTACATTTTGCTACCTTGATGAAACATTACTGCATGTTTAGCACTATTTTCTTCAGTTGTTAAACTTGTTGTTGGTATGCACTGGATCCATTATCTAAACATTTCTAAACAAATGTTTGACATTTCTAAAGAATTAAAATTATGGATTTCTGAGGCATAATGTGCCTTTAAATTGCAGTGTGCCTGTTATTATTTAAAACTAGCTCTACAACATTAGATGATCAATCAGGTATAAACATGTTCAAATGGCGACATCACGGCAGCAGCTTCTTATAAGTCAAATTTTGTTAATCTCGATTCTCGAAGTGAAATGCCTTGAGATTCGAGATATCTCAATTCAACAGTACTTGTATACTGAGAGTCCACCAAACTATTATACTGAGGGTCGACTGTACTTGTATACCGAGGGTCGACTGTACTTGTATACTGAGGGTCAAATGTACTGGTATACCAAGGGTTGGCTGTAATTATATACCATGAATCAACTGTACTTGTATACTGAGGGTCGACTGTACTTGTATACTGAGAGTCCACCAAACTATTATACTGAGGGTCGACTGTACTTGTATACTGAGGGTCGACTGTACTTGTATACTGAGGGTCAAATGTACTGGTATACCAAGGGTTGGCTGTAATTATATACCATGAATCAACTGTACTTGTATACTGAGAGTCGACTGTACTTGTATACTGATGGTCAACTGAACTTGTATACTGAGGGTCAACAGTACTTGTATACTGAGAGTCGTCTGTACTGGTATACAGGGGGTCAACTGTACTTGTATACTGAGAGTCGACTGTACTTGTATACTGAGGGTCAACAGTACTTTTATACTGAGAGTCGTCTGTACTGTTATACTGATGGTCAACTGAACTTGTATACTGAGGATCAACAGTACTTGTATACTGAGAGTCGTCTGTACTGGTATACAGGGGGTCAACTGTACTTGTATACTGAGAGTCGACTGTACTTGTATACTGAGGGTCAACTGTACTTGTATACTGAGAGTCGTCTGTACTGGTATACAGGGGGTCGACTGTACTTGTATACTGAGAGTCGACTGTACTTGTATACTGAGGGTCAACTGTACTTGTATACTGAGAGTCGTCTGTACTGGTATACAGGGGGTCAACTGTACTTGTATACTGAGGGTCGACTGTACTTGTATACTGAGGGTCAAATGTACTGGTATACCAAGGGTTGGCTGTAATTATATACCATGAATCAACTGTACTTGTATACTGAGGGTCGACTGTACTTGTATACTGAGGGTCGACTATACTTGTATACTGAGGGTCAACAGTACTTGTATACTGAGAGTCGACTGTACTGGTATACAGGGGGTCGACTGTACTTGTATACTGAGGGTCAACAGTACTTGTATACTGAGAGGCGACTGTACTGGTATACAAGGGGTCGACTGTACTTGTATACTGAGGGTCAACTGTACTTGTATACTGAGAGTCGTCTGTACTGGTATACAGGGGGTCGACTGTACTTGTAAAATGAGGGTCAACTGTACTTGTATACTGAGAGGCGACTGTACTGGTATACTGAGAGTTGACTGTACTGCTATACTGAGAGTCGACTGTACTGCTATACTGAGGGTCAACTGTACTTGTATACTGAGAGTCGTCTGTACTGGTATATTGAGAGTCGACTGTACTGCTATACTGAGGGTCGACTACACTTGTATACTGAGGTCAACAGTAATTGTATACAGAGAGTTGACTGTACTGTTATACTGGGGGTCAACTGTACTTGTAAACTGAGGGTCGACTGTACTTGTATACTGAGAGTCGTCTATGCTGGTATACTGGGGGTCGACTGTACTTGTATACTGAGAGTAGACTGTACTTGTATACTGAGAGTAGACTGTACTTGTATACTGAGGGTCAACTGTACTTGTATACTGAGAGTAGACTGTACTTGTATACTGAGAGTAGACTGTACTTGTATACTGAGGGTCAAATGTACTTGTATACTGAGGGTTGACTGCACTTGTATACTGAGGGTCAACTGTACTTGTATACTGAGGGTAGACTGTACTATTATACTGAAGGTCGACTGTACTTGTATACTGAGGTTCTACTGTACTTGTAAACCATGAGTCGACTGTACTTGTATACTGAGGGTCGACTGTACTGGTACACTGAGGGTCAACTGTACTTGTATACTGAGAGTCGACTGTACTGGTACACCAAGGGTTGACTGTACTTGTATACCATGAGTCAACTGTACTTGTATACTGAGAGTCGACTGTAATTGTATACTGAGAGTGGACTGTATTTGCTATACACAGGGTCGACTTTACTGCTATACCGACGGTCACTTACAGATGTAACAGCAGCTGTATGCTGGTCATTGGGATTTCTTCCAACAAAACATTGAAATGTGTTCACATCGTAAAGCCGTACTGAAACATAACAGAAATACACATCACTAATGATCAATAACTCTGGTAAGTTGCTATTTACCCTTTACATCAAAACTTACAATTTCTAGAAAAATCATTGAAAATGTCGACTTTTTTCTAGTAAAAAAACAACAACAAGCGTTATATAATTCTACATCATTTTGTTACTTCATACCAGGCAAAAAAAGAACTTAAAGAATACAACAGATGACATTATGTCAGATATGCAGTTTAAAATTTAAATGCAAGAATGTATTTCTATAAAACAATTAATTGTTTACAAGCAATTGTGCTTACTTCAAGTAGACTCAAATCTTACAATGATCTTGACAACACTAAGAAGTAAAACAGTTTGGATTAAGCTTTTGTATTATCCACAACTTGATGGCCTCTTGTTTATTGTTGTAAATGCATTAATTTTACTTGATCACAATGAACGTATCTCTTACAGGGAGCTACATATATTAGCACAAATCGAAAAGTTGACATACTGTAAGTGTTACTAGAAATACAAATGTAGTCATAATCTAAGAAAGGAGCTAGTCTATTTAAATTCATTTATTGTGATAGGGCATCATTGGCCGAGTGGTTCAGGGTGATGACTTTAAACCACTTATATAACAGAGCTGCAGGTTCAAATCTTGTTAGAGACTTTGGATTCTTTCAAATGAAGAAAGCTATCCAGTAAGCTTACGGAACAGTGGTGGTTCTACTCAAGTGCCCAAAACACACCTGGAATAATGTACCACAGGGCTACATGGAGGTCTTCCATAAAAGCTGTAAAGCTGGAAAGTGGTCACATGACCTTTAAAGTAATGGTGTGGATTAAAACCTAACCAAAATAAAACAAATACAGTAAAAGTTGTTGGGAGAAGACAAAATGTTAATTAACTTACATGTAGGATGATTGGTACCAACCAGGATAAAATCCCCTCCAGGATGAAATGATAACGTCCTTACTTCTGCTGCTTCCTTAAATAAATATAAAATGATATCAGTAAAAACAACACTTTCCTTAATTTCATATTGATGATACTTTCTACTTCATTGATGTATATTTAATTATAACTTTGTCAAATCATCCTCATTCATTTTTCAAGAAGATAATTATGCATACAGAACCATAATCTTATTTACCACAACTTACCGTATATCTTAATACATGAAATTAATGTTGAAATCACAATGGCAATACCAATTTAGGATGTCACACTTAGGCATTTAATTTCATAGGTCCACATTCATAAACGTCACATCAAAAAATATTTAACTCATTCAAAATGATCATTTTGAAGCTGGAAAGCCAAATGGTGTAAAACCTGACCAGAGTTTTTCCCCAGTGAATGACTATGTCCTCTGACTTACTGGATCTACATGTATGTAGGGTACAAGGATAAAAAACCCAACTCATACCACCACAGTATTTGACTGGAAATAATAGTCTTAATACAAAACAACTCAATTGCTACTTGAAACCCCTTTTTACAAAATATCCAAATACAAAATTGTGCATTCTAAAACAAATATCTTAGCTTTGACACAAAATGATTGACACATTTTAAAACTTGATAATTACAAATATCATAGCCTTTATATAAAATGATACATTCTTAAACTTGATATATTTATAAAGCTTACAGATTGCTGAAGGCTTGTATTAACCCTTTACCTCATATATACGCGAAACAACGCAATTTTGACCCCCCCCTTTTTTTTTAGGCCTCAAATAGTGAAAAAATGTCCTATTTGGGCCCCAAACACATGTTTTTGTTCGAGAAATGTTGCTAAAAAAATTGAGCACTTTTTGGTGCCGCCCCCCATCCAAAAGATACATCAGGGTTTGCCAGAAGGGGGATGTGCCCCCTTCTGTTTGGGGGTTTTGAAGGGGGGGTGGAGTCCCCCTCATCGCCAAGAAAATTTTGGACTTGTGAGAGGCTAAAAATGACCCCAGGTCGATCATAATGTAAAGTGAAACCAACGCTGAAAAGCCTTTGACTCTATCTCAATCCCTTGAGAAGTTGCAGCACTTTGAAATAAATTTTGATGGAAAAAATTGAGGCAAAATAGTGATTTTTGGCAATTTTGAGATGTCCCCTCGTTGCCATGGTAACAGAAAATTTAAGACTGAGCATGTCGTTACAAAGGCAATGGTCCAGTCAACATTTGTGCAAAGTTTGATTAGTATTGAAGCATTTTTCATAGTTTCATAGCAGTTTGAACTTGTAACAGAAGGCTTTTCAGTGAAAACGGCCATTTTTCACAATATGCTCATGGGGGAAAGGGTTAATAGTTGATATAATATGATATCTAATTATCAATAAACAGCTCATTTAAATGGCTTGATATCAAAAGGTATCCAATTACAGCATATTAAAGGAACTCCAATGAGGTTGATAAGCCTAAAACCATGAAATTTTAATTTTTCACATACCTAAAGCAGAAATATATACAAAAGATAACTAAGAAATATACATGTACCTAGAAATACACTGAAAATTGTATGTTTGTGTTATTATGAGTCCGATTTGAGTGAAAAGCGTTTAAACGCTTTTCAATTTAAGGTCATTTTTGACAATTAAAACAATTATTCTGGAAAAAAACCAACCGAGCTAATGATCTGAAATTTTGCAGATAAATTGTTGGTATAGACCTACATCAGATGGAGTAATAATCTCAAAAAAATATTTTCAGTCATGTCAAAAAACCTCAGTGGAGTCCCTTTAAGGGTTTGGTGCTAAACAGCTGTAACTCAAATTGCACACTGGTAATGAAGGAGTTACATCCATTTCGCACTGATCCATCAATATGATATCCTGAATTTATCTTCACCAATCATAATCTTCACTATTCATACTGGAAACAGATTTTGTGATTGTGAGGAATAAAGTAAATCTCTAACCTGTATACTTTTATATGCCTTTTTCACTGATGGTTTTGAATATTCAAAGAATCTGACACTAAAATCTTTGCTGCCGGACGCCAGAATTTGATGGTGTGGATGAAAGTCAAGACAAGTAATTTCCTGAAATATAGAAGTACAGTTGTGCTTTATGATACATATTTAGCAAAAAATAAAGAGATAAAACGTCTGAGTACAAACTCAAAATGTCAGATTTTGAACTTTTTTTTTAATTTGAGAACTTGATAGCTTTCTTGCAAAGGATTTGTATAAGTAAACCCTTTTTGATATCAGGGCATGATAATTCTGTTCAAATGTCAAAAATGATTGAAAAGATTAATGCAAACAGATATTTTAGTTACAATTTGGTCAGACACAGGCCTTGTGTAAGCATATAATTAAAAATGTTTTCTACATACCCCATTGTGGTCCTCATCAATGCAAGTTTGTAATTTAACATGTTATCTACATACCCCATTGTGACCCCTATCTGTGCAAGTTTATAATTTAACATGTTATCTACATACCCCATTGTGACCCCTATCTGTGCAAGTTTATAATTTAACATGTTATCTACATACCCCATTGTGACCCCTATCTGTGCAAGTTTATAATTTAACATGTTATCTACATACCCCATTGTGGTCCTCATCAATGCAAGTTTATAATTTTAACATGTTATCTACATACCCGTTGTGGTCCTCATCAATGCAAGTTTATAATTTAACATGTTATCTACATACCCCATTGTGGTCCTCATCAATGCAAGTTTTATAATTTAACATGTTATCTACATACCCCATTGTGGTCCTCATCAATGCAAGTTTATAATTTAACATGTTATCTACATACCCCGTTGTGGTCCTCATCAATGCAAGTTTGTAATTTAACATGTTATCTACATACCCCATTGTGACCCCTATCTGTGCAAGTTTATAATTTAACATGTTATCTACATACCCCATTGTGACCCCTATCTGTGCAAGTTTATAATTTAACATGTTATCTACATACCCCATTGTGACCCCTATCTGTGCAAGTTTATAATTTAACATGTTATCTACATACTCCATTGTGACCCCTATCTGTGCAAGTTTATAATTTAACATGTTATCTACATACCCCGTTGTGGTCCTCATCAATGCAAGTTTATAATTTAACATGTTATTTACATACCCCATTGTGGTCCTCATCAATGCAAGTTTATAATTTAACATGTTATTTACATACCCCATTGTGGTCGTATAATGTTCTGATGACTGGGTGATTTTCCATGGCTTGTTGGGGCGTCTCCAGTGCAATCACTTCAGGGGGCGTTGCACTCTTGGCCAACATTCTTTCCACATCTAGAATCTGACAAAAAATGAAACAGGGCTGTGAGTAAGACAACACTCTCGACTTTTCTCAGTGCTTGATAGTAAAACAAGAGCCTGGATAATGTAGAACTTTTTAAGTACAAAAAAGGGTCATGATTCTGTCAAAATTCAAGTTACAGTTATTGGCCTTGGACAATGGTCTCCTCTTATGCACTCAAATAAGTGTGTTGAAGTTAAACTCATTCACTTCAGTAGTTTCAGAGATACCAACTTGCATGCAAAGACTTCACCAAAGTGTGATGACGATGTCAAAAAATGCATGACTAGCTCTCTGTATTCTATGAATAGTTGAAAAATTGAACTGCTTTGACTCCTTCATTATAAGATTTTTTTTTTCATTGGGCTTTACGTCGCACCAACACAATATAGGTCATATGGCAACTTTCCAGCTTTACTAGGAGGAAGACCTCGGGTACCCCTGTGCCTTATTTCAAGCACCAACGGGCACCGGAATAATACCACTGACGCTACATAAGATAACTGGATAGCTTTCACACATGAAAGAATCAGTGTAAAGAATCAGTGATTCATTCTTAAGTATTAGCAGAAGTAATTTCAAGTATTTTTAAATGTAAATCGATGAGTTGATATTTTTTTATTTTATGCATGACCAAAAGTATTATTTTCATTTGAAATGAAATTTAACACCTAACATTACAGGAAAAGAAGGTCAATGTTTTACCTTTATTGATGTGTCTTCAGAGCCTGTAGCAATTAACTGACCTAGAAATATAAAATATAATCATTCTCTAACAATGACCCTTTATTATACCTACCTCATCATATCTTATCTATATATCCAACCGTAACAAAATCAATTATTTAAACAAGAAATATGTCCCCCTTTCTCGCCCTTGACTCATTATTGGTAAATTTGTTACAGAAACCTGCCATATATGTGTACATGGAAGTGTTCAGTTATGGAAAAATAAAAAAAAATGACCAATATACATGTATGATCTGAAACTGAATGAAAGCTATCATTAGTATAATTAGCAGAAACCATTCTGATATTTAATGCCCCTGTGATCTTGACCTTTGACATTGTGACCCCAAAATCAATAGGGGTCATCTACTAGTTATGACCAATCAGTATGTGAAATATGAAGGACTTTGTGACAAATAGTTTTTAAGAAAATCAGCCGAAACCATGTGGTCTACTGACGGACAGACCAACAGACAGACCGACCAACATCAGAAAACAATATTCGCCCTCTTCTTCAAAGGGGGCCATAAAAATGTCATTCAGTAAGGCATATGTATGTTATACAGATTGTTAATGGTCTGATATAATACATGTATTTCTTGCATACCAGACAGGATTATCTACTATTTACATTGCTGCTAGAAAAACCTGTCTAACAGGCATGCTTTAAATGAAGTCATTCCCATGTGCCTTTTTTGAATGAATTGCATTCTTAATTATAAGATGACATCATTTTAGCCTTTATGAATGAAGTTGAAAATACATGCGCTACTTTTTGAAAAGAGTACTAAATGAAAAGATTAGTTTTCGTTTTTTTTCTTTTTGAAATATGATTTAAATACAGTATGTTAATATAATAGAAAATTAAGCAAACAGCAGCCATCGTCACAGACTGGAATATCAAGCTCTAGACAGAGCCTTGTTACCTCTGTAAACAGATACCAGTGAGTTAGATATTCTGGTCTGTACTGGCAGCCGGTGTTAGATTCTTATAATCCATGTCATACATGCTGTCTTTATGGTTGAGGATGACCCCAATAAGCTTCTCTGTGCACTCAATAAAACCAGCAACCTTTGGTTAGCTAGCTGGACTGATCTGAACCAAAATTGGTGAAGGGCCAGCTGTTTGAAGACAATAGCCTAAATCACTCCTCCATGGATGTCCCTCACAGTATATACAAATAGATGTACAACATATCAATAAGAAATTACCACTGGGATGGAAGACTCCTACTCTGCAGGCACTCTTGTGTGCTGTAACATAACATGTCTCATACAAGGCTGCTTCTGGTGATATTGTCTGAACTGAAATATATACCACATACCTTCATATCAAATATATATATCACATATCTTCATATTAAATATATACCACATACCTTCATATCAAATATATACCACAAAAATCTTCATATCAAATATATACCACATAACCTTCATATCAAATATATACCACCTACCTTTATATCAAATATATACCACCTAACTTCATATCAAATATATACCACATAGCTTCATATCAAATATATTATTTTACCACATACCTTCATATCAAATATATAACACATACATTCATATCACTTATATACCACATATCTTCATATCAAATATATACCACATACCTTTATATCAAATATATACCACATACCTTCATACCAAATATATACCACATACCTTTGTATCAAATATATACCACATACCTTTATATCAAATATATACCACATATCTTCATATCAAATATATACCAAATATTTTTATATTAAATATATTCAACATACCTTCAAATTAAATATACATCAAGTTCATAATAAGTAAATACCATCTACCTTCTTATTTATTATATACCCCATAACTACAAATTAAATATATACCACATTTTAAATATGTACCACATTCCTTCAATAATTTCATTTATCATTATTGATATTTCAATCTGTTTAGTCTCTTCAATAAAGCCTCACTTATTATTTATAAGTTCAGATCTGTAAACTGTCTTATTCAGAACACATGAACACCTTTCACTCATTTTATTGAGAGCAGCCACACAAGGACTATAAATGAATTTCTGTCAAAAAAGAAATCAATTGGCCATATGTAAGTTAGATCTGAAGACTTCGATCTGATACCATCATTGCTCTATAAGAGAAGACAATATAATTTTACACTTAAATCACTTACCATCTGTCTCAAACTCCAAATCAATTCCTGCACCAGGAGTGATGTACTCACTCTTGAATGTCTTTTCCCCAGTCACCTCTGTAACAACAAGTATGAAACAAGCAATTATCATAGTATTGCAAGCAATCCATAAGTCCCCTACCGGTAAGAGCCCAAGCAACATTCTGAAGGGCCATTCACTTAGGTTCCTATTTTAAGTAAATTTGTTGAAAAAGTCCTTTAAAAGTGATCACAGGAAACAGTTTTTATGTACAGACAGACGGACTGAAGGACACTCTAAAGTTATTTTTTAAACATCCCTGTTATCAAAATATAACATTTTTAAAATCCTATCATGATTGTAGAAGTTGGAGTAAAAATTACCAATTTCTCAAAAAAAAGTCTAAGTTCAAAAGGGGCATAATTCTGGAAATAGTCTTGCTAGAGTATTGAACACTCACAAAATTTAATGTTGAGTGATAATAAGAAACATTTATATGAAGTTTGAAGTAGATACATTCAGAAAAAGAAGTTATTAAAAAAAAAAACAATGTTTTTTTCATGAAAATTTAAAGTTCAAGGGAGGTAATTCTGAAAAAATTCTGTGCTAGAGTTGTAAACCTTGTCACATATGATGTGGTTGATGACAAGCAACTTATATTTAAAGTTTGAAGAAAATACCTTAAGAAATAAAGAACTTATAGTGAAAAAACTTAAAAACTAGAACCAGAAAATCTTGAAATTCAGTCTATTTGTTTGCCATAGCAACCAGAATTTTCAACATAGGAAGATAAGAAAAGGATGTGCATAATTTCCATACTGCCATCTACCCATATGTCAAGTTTCATAAACATATTTTCAGTACTTTTTGTGTTATCACTGGATCCAGGTTATGTGTAAAATTTGCCATATTTTCAGTCTATTTGTTGCCATAGCAACCAGAATTTTCAACATAGGAAGAAAAGAAAAATACGTGCATAATCTCCATACTGCCATCTATCCATATTACAAATTTCATAAAAATATTTTCAGTACTTTTTGCGTTATCGCGGGAACCAGGTTATGTGTAAAATTTGCCATATTTTCAGTCTATTTGTTGCCATAGCAACCAGAATTTTCAACAAAGGAAGAAAAGAAAAAGACGTGCATAATCTCCATACTGCCATCAATCCATATATCAAGTTTCATTAAAATATTATCAGTACTTTTTGCGTTATCGCGGGATCCAGTTTTGTGGACGGACGGACTGACGGACGGACAGACGGACGGACTGACGGAGGGTAAACCTAAAGTCCCCTCCGGTAAACCGGTAGGGGACTAAAAAGTTAGTAAGGGATATTTCTAAGTCTCTGCAAAATTGTTCATGAGTGAACATAAATCATGCAGGCTCTTTCTAATGGAAATAGGCTATTGTCATTCCTGCTAAATTTAGCAAGGGGGCTTTTGTCCTAGTGAGAAATATTTTCCTACTGGGCTATTTGTTTCATTCTTGGTTAGAGTTTAACTTGCACCTAAACTTCTAGAGTCAAATGAGGATCTTCATACATTTACTAGTGTAGGATGACCTCAGGTACATCAGTGTTAATATGATAGTTCAGAATTTTTCAATCACACTGTCTTCAATTTGCCGTATCATGTTAGGCTAGTGATATAAGCAAGTACATGTTGCAGGTCAGGCAGGAGATATAGGCAAAGCAATGTTGCAGGTCAGGTAGGTGATATAGGCAAAGCAATGTTGCAGGTCAGGTAGGTGATATAGGCATGTCAATGTTGTAGGTCAGGTAGGTGATATAGAAAAAGCAATGTTGAAGGTCAGTTAGGTGATATAGGCATGTCAATGTTGCAGGTCAGGTAGGTGATATAGAAAAAGTAATGTTGCAGGTCAGGTAGGTGATATAGAAAAAGCAATGTTTCAGGTCAGGCAGGTGATATAGGCAAGTCTATGTTGCAGGTCAGGCAGGTGATATAGGCAAAGCAATGTTGCAGGTCAAACTGGTAATACAGAAAAAGCAATGTTGCAGGTCAGACTGGGGATACAGGAAAAACAATGTTGCAGGTCAGACAGTAATCTGACTGGTGATATAGGCAAGTCAATGTTGCAGGTCAGACTGGTGATATAAGGCAAAGCAATGTTGCAGGTCAGGTAGGTGATATAAGCAAGTCAATGTTGCAGGTCAGGCTGGTGATTTAAGCAAGTCAATGTTGCAGGTCAGACTGGTGATATAAGGCAAAGCAATGTTGCAGGTCAGGCTGGTGATATAGGCAAAGCAATGTTGCAGGTCAGACTGGTGATATAGGCAAATCAATGTTGCAGGTCAGACTGGTGATATAAAGCAAGTTAATGTTGCAGGTCAGGCTGGTGATATAGGCAAGTCAATGTTGCAGGTCAGACTGGTGATATAGGCAAGTCAATGTTGCAGGTCAGGCTGGTGATTAACAAGTCAATGTTGCAGGTCAAGGTGGTGATATAAGGCAAGTCAATGTTGCAGGTCAGGCTGGTGATTAACAAGTCAATGTTACAGGTCAGGGTGGTGATATATGGCAAGTCAATGTTGCAGGTCAGGCTGGTGATTAACAAGTCAATGTTGCAGGTCAGGGTGGTGATATAAGGCAAGTCAATGTTGCAGGTCAGGCTGGTGATTAACAAGTCAATGTTGCAGGTCAGGGTGGTGATATGAGGCAAGTCAATGTTGCAGGTCAGGCTGGTGATTAACAAGTCAATGTTGCAGGTCAAGGTGGTGATATAAGGCAAAGCAATGTTGCAGGTCAGGCTGGTGATTAACAAGTCAATGTTACAGGTCAGGGTGGTGATATAAGGCAAAGCAATGTTGCAGGTCAGGCTGGTGATTAACAAGTCAATGTTGCAGGTCAGGGTGGTGATATAAGGCAAGTCAATGTTGCAGGTCAGGCTGGTGATTAACAAGTCAATGTTACAGGTCAGGGTGGTGATATAAGGCAAGTCAATGTTGCAGGTCAGGCAAAGCAATTCAAAGCAATGTTGCGGGTCAGGCTGGTGATTAACAAGTCAATATACCACCAGCATTCACCAAGCTCATAAGTTAGACTAATTACCTTCTTCTGCTTTGAGTCCAAGTTTTAAAACTTTGAGCAGTCTATCTGATGGTGGGCATGCTGGGTGAGCCTTTACCATGGAAGCAAGGTTGACTGCTAACTGCTGGTGTCCATCATAGAACAACTGGCTGAAACATTAAGAAAAATTCAATTTAGATTTTACTCACTTGTTAATGGATTTCTGTCAGATATATACCGGTAAATCAGGTTTACACAAGTGTTTGAATAATGCTGATTTTAACATGTTCAAGGGAGGAACTGGTAAGGGAGAGAATGGTCTGACTATCCTTCTGAACAAAGATAATGTCAAAGGGAACTAGACACTTCACCTATCAAGACACTTCACTCTCAGAACACTTCACCCCCAAAAATCAGTAAGACACAGAAACCACTTATCCAATTTTTCTTATTAACCCTTTCCCCCATGAGCATATTGTGAAAAATGGCCGTTTTCACTGAAAAGCCTCCTGTTACAAGTTCAAACTGCTATGAAACTATGAAAAATGCTTCAATACTAATCAAACTTGGCACAAATGTTGACTGGACCATTGCCTTTGTAACGACATGCTCAGTCTTAAATTTCCTGTTACCATGGCAACGAGGGGACATCTCAAAATTGCCAAAAATCACTATTTTGCCTCGATTTTTCCATCAAAATTTATTTAAAAAAGTGCTGCAACTTCTCAAGGGAATTGAGATAGAGTCAAAAGGCTTTTCGAGCTTTGGTTAAACGTTACATTATGGTCGACCTGGGGTCATTTTTTAGCCTTCTCACAAGTCCAAAATTTTCTTGGCGATGAGGGGGGACTCCGCCCCCCCTTCAAACCCCCCTAACAGAAAGGGGGCACATCCCCCTTCTGGCAACCCCCTGGGATGTATCTTTTGGATGGGGGCGGCGCCGAAAAAGTGCTCAATTTTTTTAGCAACATTTCTCAAACGAAAACTTATGTTTAGGGCCCAAATAGGACATTTTTTCACTATTTGAGGCCCCAAAAAGGGGGGGGGGGTCGAAAGTGCGTTGTTTCGCGTATATATGTGGTTAAGGGTTAAGTAAATAATTCAACAACAAATAAAGCTTTTATATGTTTACTTTAATTATTTTAGTAACTTTTTATTATTTTTTTCCAGATAACAAATAAAGCTAAATAAGATTTATTGATTGTATTACCCATTGTAATACAAAGCACTTTCATCTATTATTGTGTTTACTGCATGTCACCTTGTTTATTCAACATGTTGATTGGTTGATGATTCAACAGTTATCTCATAATTGATTAGTTTATTGTATTATAAATGTTATTTGTGAATAATAAATGTATAAATGAATAAATAATTAAATGAATGAACGAATCACATAAGAATAAGTTATGTTTCTATTATAACATCAAGTTCTTTTAACTAACAGGGTTGCATTTAATACTAAGGTCATCCATAATGTCATAAAACAATAAATTAAAAAAAGTAGCACAATTTATGGAAATTAAGGAAATAGCCCTAATTTTTCATCAAATGAATTAACCTGATTATTAAAAAAATTATTAAAATTATCATACAATTGGCTTAATCACTTTCACTTTCATTTAAAATTTATACAAGATAAATATATTTTGAATCTAAGATAACTATTTTGAGTAAACCGTGACTTTGGTGAGACATTTTCTGATTGAGTGTTTTTTTTATAGATTATTGACATGTCAATTCTTGACTACTAGTCATTCCAACCTTTATTGTCTAGCTGGCAAATTTAAACAAGGGGCTTTTTTAGGGCAAAAACAACAATTCAACAATTTATCCATTACTTTAGTCAATAACATGATTATTTTTTGTTGAACAAAAAATAATAAAAAAATGGGGGGGGGGAGTGTCTCGGTCAGATTTCTTAACATCAGATGGATTAACTGTTTGAAGATTGAAGTGTTTGCAAAAAATGGTCTAGTACGGTGAACTGTCTGAGGGGTTAACTATCTGTGAATCATTTCAAACAATTAGCTGTCAACTTTTTCAATGTCTAGATATTTGCTTTAGTGATGGTATCTCTGAATTACTTCATCCCTTCATTCATCCATCTTCCCTTAATGTGAAACCCCTCGCTGTGATGACTAGCTGTGACATAGCTGTGTTTACACGTCAAAAATCACCAGAAAGTTAAAAAGATAGTTTAATAGAAGTTTATTCCTTAAAAGTTTATTAACTAAACCAGAGACTTTTATAGCGAGCTCGAAGAGCTGGTCTAAAGGGCCTGCTCACAAAGCCAGCTTTACCATAACGCGAGTACCTGCTAGATAGTGATGGTTTTGAAAACTTTCGTCCAAAGTACTGAATTGACACATCGCACTTTTGAATTACAAGATAACGATAAAAACCGAGGTGTTCTGATTGAAAATGTAAGTGTAGACTAGTGTCCCGCACACTTATATGGGAACCATAATTGGACAGGGAACCAGAATAAAGGGAAGCAGTCTATAAAATTCCCAATGACAATTTTAAAACGGAAAATGTAAAATAAAAATGAACAATTATTTTATACTATTTCAAGGTAAAAGTAAATCGAGCACGCCTTGAGGCTTTGCCTTTTTCATATTGTCAGAGTGAGAAATATGTGCAGCCTGACCGGGACTCGAACCCGGGACCTTCGAATACCGTACCGCGGCTCTACCGACTGAGCTATCCGGCCGCTTACACATCTTCTCCCCTATATAGTGAACAGTTCTGAACAGTGACATACTTCCCCATATTGAAATTCGTCCTTGAATTTCACTGAGTTACAGAGCAATGTGAATTAAACTCTGAGCTGCTACACATCTTCTCCCCTATAAAGTGAACAGTTCTGAACCGTGACAATATTTACAGATCTGTGACTAAACACTCTATTTCCTAAGAGATTTTAAATATATTACGACAGTAAGAGGGCCGAGTTGACGTGGGCCGAGTTGGTATAAGGCCGAGTTGACCCTTTATCCACGCACATGCCCGTCTTATTTGTTAAACATTGCAGATACTGCACCTTATCATAAGCCTGTACAGCAGATCTCTCTGTTTCACTTCCATACGATATTTTAATCTTTGCAGCGGTTTAATTCAATTTTCCGCAAAAAATATATTATTTTGCCGGTAAGAAGATTTTATATGTACGCCGCTTTACTGTCAACAAGCGTCTCTTGACATTGACTTCCTGTTTTAATTAGACGTGTACATCAACAAGATGGATCTCCAAAAATACCTCCCAGAAAGCATTAAGAAACTACCAGTACATATGGTTTGTATTCTATTCTTACTCTTTCCAGGCAGATACAGGTAGAGAGGTTCCCCACACATCATTTAGCCCCCATAACCCCATGTGTGATATTGATATCTCTGTAAAAGGTGTTGAGAAGCTCTTAAAAAACCTTAACCCCCATAAGGCTGCAGGACCTGACCAAATTAGACCCATAGTGCTGAAAAATACCAGTAAAGAACTAGCCCCTATAGTGTCCAAACTTTTCCAAAAATCACTGCAGTCCAGCACTCTACCAGACATCTGGAAAATGGCGAATGTGGCCCCTGTCTTTAAAAAAGGTAGCAAGTCAGACCCAGCAAACTATCGCCCTATCTCTCTTACCTGTATCTTGTGTAAAACCCTGGAACACATTGTCTCCTCCAGCATAACAAAGCACTTTACTAGATCAAACTTGTTCTATGAATTGCAGCATGGTTTCCGAGAAAAAAAGGTCATGTCAATCCCAACTATTAATGCTTATAGATGATATCCTACAGTCAGTAAATCAGAGAAGCCAAGTAGACTTAATCCTTCTTGACTTCTCTAAGGCCTTTGATATGGTCAACCATGAAAAACTCCTGTATAAGCTGCATTTCTACGGTATAAGGGGTCAAACTCTTAAATGGATCAAAGGTTTTCTTGATAACAGGTCACAGTCCGTGGTGGTAAATGGCTCCACATCCAGCTCCATACCAGTCTCCTCCGGTGTTCCCCAGGGCTCGGTCCTCGGACCTCTCTTATTTCTTATATACATCAATGACCTTCCTGAATATGTCCAATCCTCTAAAGTCCGCCTATTTGCTGATGACACGGCCATCTATCTATCTCTGACTGTCGCTTCTCATTCTAGCTTACTGCAACACGACTTACACCAACTTGAACAATGGGAGACAAAATGGGACATGCAATTTAATCCATCAAAATGCACAGTTATCCAAATCACAAAACGAAAAACAGTCATTCCAACACAATACCTTCTACATAACACCACATTAGAAACAGTCTCATCTGCAAAATACCTTGGTATTACAATATCAAATGATCTAACATGGAACAAACACATAAACAACATCACAACAAAGGCAAATCAAAACACTTGGTTTTCTACGCCGAAATATCAAGGTTCACTCAGAAAGGTTAAAGTCAACTGCATACAAGACACTTGTTAGGCCCAGCTCGAGTATAAGCTCCACGGTCTGGTCCCCCTACACAGGAACTCTCATTGACCAGATAGAGTCTGTCCAGAGAAGGGCTGCTAGGTGGGTCAAACATGACTTTGGCCGTTTGTCGAGTGTCACTGACATGTTGACTTCCCTTCAATGGAGGCGCCTTGACCTTCGGCGTATTGACCAACGCCTGGTCATGTTTCACAACATCTTGCATGACCAGGTGGCTATCCCTTTCCCAAATAATATCGTCCCTCTTACAAGATCATCAAGAACATCCCATCCCCATGCATTCCAACAAGTCCAAACTAAAACTGACTACTATAAATATTCATTTTTCCCAAGAACAATAGTCCACTGGAATGCTTTACCACCTGATATCATGAACTTGTCTGGCCCCGAGTTCAGTCTGGCTGTTAGCCGGATTGAACATACGTCTCCCTAAAATACCTTCTCTATTTTTAACCTGTTTTTAACAATTTACTCATTTCCATTACTTTTATATTCTTTTATTTCAGTTCTTTTACTAACATTCTTGTCAGTTGACGCGCGTCAAGTCTAGGTCCCCAGCAGGGGTTTGACTATATGGGAGATAGATAGATAGATTTCCACGCTGCAATTATTCTTTTCCACATTCATTTTGTAAAAGCAACACATAACGTTCACTAAACCTACCACATTTCGGATGACACATATTTGGCTATGCCTGTTTCTCTTTAGAACTTTATTTGAAAATATGTCTGACATTTGATTTTTTGTTGATGATATAATGCAATGTGTGTCTAATCATCTGTTGGCAGATAATTTTGTTATGAATTACTGCTTTCCTAGTAAAAAGAACATTAAATGTGTGGAAACAGAAACTGGACCACTGCATGATAGACTCACAAACTGGGGTCTCACATATGTTTATACGTTTGAACAGGTTAACCTGGTTTTTAGGTAAAAATGGTTAGAAAATTCAATGACCAGTAACTGAAGTTAGAAAAGGGCGGAAAAGTTTTAAATTGATTCTAAATATTACCTTAGTTTTTTTTATGACAAGATATGACAATTGTTTGTATTTTAGTTGTTTATGACAAACTATTTTTCCCATAGATCTGATAGAAAGCGGTACTACCCCAGGGGAAAATAGTTACTCCATATTTGGATATGTATTGTAATCATTTTGAGTACAACAAAATATGAACAAAATGGCATAAAATCTAAGGATTTTATTAGTACGGTTGGTTAAACTTAGTCGCCACTTTTGGCGTATTTTCAGTGTATGTGGGTCCATGTGTGCACCCCTCCTTCTATACGTCTGGATTTGTCTGGTCTATATCTTGCTCATTATTCAAGGATTGCAAAATAATTTGATACAAATGTTCACCATGATGGGGTGATGCAGGGCTCTCAGTAGGGTCAGAATTTCACGAGTCAAAGACTCTTTGGCCAAAATTTTCATGAGTCAAATAATTTTTTTCTAGTGTCATTGGACTACATGAATCATCTTTATGTTACAAAAATTACTGTTTAGGAGGTCATTTTGTGTATATTCTCAATTCTAAATTGATAATATTTAACATGGAAAAAATGCCTTGTTATAATGTATATGTACCCCCCCCCCCCAAAAAAAAAAAAAGAAAAAAAAGACAACAAAAAACAAACAAATATAAAAAAATGAATAGCATATATACTGTGAAAGAATGAATTAAGCAGCAGCTTTTCTGATTAAAAGTTTAAAATATAAAGAAATATCTTTACTGGTATGCTATATATCATATGTTGAGTCGAGTTGTCTTGACAAGGTCACAAGAGGTCAAATGAAAAATATTAAAATTTGATTGTCCACACTGTATCTTACTTATGCTTTGAAGTATTATGCTAAGTTCAGCGTAGTTGTCAAAATGGCTGTACAGTGTTAGTTTGTGTGTGCTTGAATGCATCCAAACTTGTCCATGCCATAACTTTTTTATGCCACCGCAGCATCTGCGATGCGGTGGCATATAGCGATTCACCTGTGTGTGTGTGCGTGTGTTTGTGTGTGTGTTTGTGTGTGTGTTATATAGGTTATATAGTGAACTTAAAAAATCTTCTTGTGAAAAACCACGAGTCCAATTTCAACCAAACTTGGCAGGATTGTTCCTTGGGTGAAGGGCTTCCAAAGTTGTTCAAAGAATTTAATTCCATGCAGAAATCTGGTTGCCATGGCAACCAAAAGGAATTAAAAATTTTTAAAAAATCTTCTTGTAAAGACCCAAAAGGCCTAGAGCTTAGATATTTTGCATAAGGCATTGTCTGGTAGACCTCTAACAAGATTGTTCAAATTAAAGCCCTGGGGTCAAAATTGGCCCCGCCCCGGGGGTCATTGATTTTCACTATGTACATATAGTAAAAACTTAAAATACCTTCTTGTAAAAACCCAAAATGCCTAGAGCTTAGATATTTTGCATAAGGCATCGTCTGGTAGACCTCTTCCAAGATTGTTCAAATTATAGCCCTGGGGTCAAAATCGGCCCGCCCCGGGGGTCATTGGTTTTCCTTATATGTATATAGTAAAAACTTATAGTAAAAACTTAAAAAAAAATTCTTCTAGCAATTGACAAATGCTAGAGGTTAGATATTTTGCATGAAACATTGTGTAGTAAACCTCTAGCAAGATTGTTCAAATTATAGTCCTAGGGTCAAAATTGCCCCCGCCCTTGGGGTCATTGATTTCAATATATACATAGTGTAAAAAATAAATAAATCTTATTGTCTGAAGGTACAAGGCTTAGAGCTTTAATATTTGTTAAATAATATCATCTAAAGGTACTCTACAAAAGTTATTCAAATTTTGCCTCTTGTGTCAAAATTAGCCCCGCCCCCGGTGGCCATAGGTTTTCCTTATATATATATAGTAAAAACTTAAAAAATCATCTTCTCTAAATTTACAAAGGCTAGAGTTAAGATATTTTGCATGAAACATTGTGTAGTGAACTCTTGCAAGATTGTTCAAATTATAGCCCTGGGTGAAAATTGGTTCCGCCCCGGGGGTCATTGATTTTCATTATGTACATATAGTGAAAAAATAAAAAGTATTTTTGTCTGAAGGTACACGGCATAGAGCTTTGATATCATTTATAGGTCCTCTACCAAAGTTGTTCAAAATTTTCCCTGGTGTCAAAATTGGCCCTGCCCGGGGGCAGTGATTCTCATTATGTACACATAGTAAAAACAGAAAAAAAACAAATGTTTTCTGAATGGGAGAAAGCTATAGCTTAGATATTTGACTTGAAATGTTGTTTGGTGGACCTGCATCAAAATTGTTTTGAATTAAACCCTTGGGTCAAAATTATGCCTTGCCCAAGGGGACAGTGACCTACTTTCTTGTCCTTTGATGTACAGCAATGACATTTTGACCATGTGCACAGTTTTAGTTGTAAAATTGAACTTTGATATCAGGTGACCTAGATTTTGATGATGTGACCTACTTTCTTGTCCTTTGATGTACAGCTATGAAATTTTAACCATGCGGTGGCATAGCATTTTTCTCAAATGCAATCTTGTTTTGCGCATGGAGGAATTTTCAAATCACTTGAATTGAGTTTTTGTGCCCCCACTTAAGTGACGGGCATAAAGATTTACCCTTGTCCGTCCTTCCGTTCTCTTCTGTGTCGCACGTAACTCAAAAAGTATTTGACCTAGAGTCATGAAACTTTACAGGAATGTTGATCAGCATGTGTAGTTGTGCACCTGGGTATTTTCGTCTGGATACTTTTAGTATTTTTAGAGTTATTGCCCTTGACTTAGTAATATTTTGCAATTTTCAACTTGTGTCGCATGTTACCCAAAAAGGATTTGATCTAGAGT